ACAACTAGGCACAAAATTGACAGAGTACTGAGACATTCGACGTCCTGACACCTAGCTTCAACACATCTCCGTAGCGCTAACCGACAGCCTTCCAACTTGGAAGGTTCAAGGTTATGGAAATACCAAAGAGGGGAAGGCAAGCGCAACAAAAACGAGCACAAGCTACAGTCCCAATGGAACAAAGAATGTCGATTGTTACTGGACGATGACGAAACCAGTAGGCGATTTGACAAAGCGGTCTAACTACAATTCAAAGCAGCAAAGCAGCACACCACCCAACTTGGGTGGGTCATGGGTGGTGGTGTCAGGACGTCGAATGTCTCAGTACTCTGTCAGTTTTGTGCCTAGTTGTTGCACTTTCTGACTGTATATAGTATCATGTTACAGTGATGGAGAGTTACTCTTAACTCGTTTCCATATGTCCTTTTCCTTTCTACTTTTATTATTGGCTCAATACCCGAGTTTCGAACTACCAGTTACGCTTTAATGTCCACTAACACCACCAGTTACTTGACAATCACCCCATGGCATAACACACTGTTAGTGATCGACAGTACTGACGTGCTACAACTACAACACTTATAATTGCCAATCAGTGTAAAAAAAAGAGAAGAAAACACATGAGAACGAGTTTGGCAGTAACTATTATCGCACTTTCTGACTGTGTATCATCTTGTTACAGTTGTGGATAGTTGCTGCATAACTCTTCAAAGTTCTCATGTGTTTTCTTCTCTTTCTTACATTTATTACTGGCTCAGTATCCGAGTTAAAATCACTGTTAGTGGACATGTTAGCTCCCGGCTAATCGAAGTCCGCTCACACCAGAACACGGGGGTTTTATGGTATTGAATATGGAAGTATTTCGACAAGAGTGTCGACAGGAATGAAAAGGAGAACAGGACAACGACAACTCAAGACTAGAACTGAAGACCCACTGTAGCATGCGCTCTTCTATACATGTGAGTGGCTCTCATTGCCAAGGAGAACGAGCGGGAAATACGCAGTAGTGAGTATGTACAGGTCGTAGCATAAATACACCTATTATACTGGCGTTCACATGGGAATTCAGTCGATTGACCGGGGCTGGCACCCTCAGTGCGCACAGAATGCTGCGTGCAGTGCACATTGTTGGTCCATGCGACCAGCGCGCTGCAGCGCATAAATGCATTTGTGTACCGCTCATCCTCGGATGCATGGCCAGCGCCCCGGGGCCGCTAGACGTGTGACCGGATCTCCATGTCCACGACAATAGCTTAACTTGTACTGTCAACTTTGCTATAACGACAATTCGCGAATAACGACAGAATTTCCATGCCCAGAGCAAAGTCCCATCTAACTGTAATACGTATAATGAGACTTCGGGTATAACGACACTTCGCGAATAACGACACTTTTCTGATGCCCCGCCGAGTGTCGTCATAAGCGAAATTGACTGTAGTTCTTTTTTGAGACTCCACTGTAGCCTTGTCATATTTTCAGTGTACCCAAGGCGCAACACACGAACAGTCCTTGCCTACACCACGTACACACACTGTATAGCAGGAAATGCAGGTAATTTTCGGACGGAATTTATTTTCGCACGATTTCGTACACGGCCTCTTTTGTACTAAAATCAATTCCGTACTAAAATTTGTTCATGTGAAATTATGTACACTATACATGCATACTCCTAGTGAACACGTGTATCTAGCATGCAGCATAGCTAGCACTGTACCAAAATATAATCCGTACGAAAGGTTGAAATTCGGCTTTGTCCGAAAATATTTCCGTCCGAAAACTTCCTTCTATACAGTAACTTGTCCACGTGTTCAACCAGGAGACCATCATCAGAGATATCCCTGTTGATGCCCTCCTGGGTGAACATTTGGACAATTTACTGTGTGCTGTTGTAGCAGCCAAGGACTGTTCGTGTGTTGCCAGTTGCCGGGTGTACTGAGAACCTGTAGTTCCTTGGTCCTTTTCTATCCTATAAATGTATGCTTGGCTCTCGATCCCAGTCCATTCAGCTAGTATTGCGTGGCTTTTGACGTTCGTGAATTTTGGGATTTGAAGTTACCGTTCTGCATACTGTGCTTGACCAAACCTCCTTGTTTATGTGAAATCTGACTGGACCTCCTTTTTTTATTACTTTTGAGCGTTTTGGCCTCAAGAAGAACATGCAGTTGTGTGCATGTATGTCTGATTGTACGAGTATGTACTCAATCTGCGGACAGAACCGCATAGTCGTTTGCGGACTCGTCAGCGCAGAACAGAGAATATGAGGTTGATATGACACGGATTGAGCATGTCGCCCCTGCTCTTGTAGTAGTAGTAGTGGTAGTAGTTGAGCACTCTCATGTGGGGTAGTGCCTTTGGTGTTTGCGTTGTGTAGAGTTCACTGACTTGTCAGTTTGAGCAGTCTGGCAAGGTACGCTTGGGCCTGGCTTTTCGAAAATAATATTTTTTTCATCGCGATCAGGTTCGATCTCTTTTTCTGTATGCTGAGTTGGTGAGTCCAGTACGGACAAAACTGTTTTTTCCACAGATTGAGCACTGTAAATATACAAATTTTCGGCAGCTATTTAATCTCGGCTATATTCGGCACCGACCCAAAACGCCTAAATTAAAACGCCGTTGAAATTTTTCACAGCATCTGTCGCACTATACCATGCCCTCTACCCCACGCCGAAAATAAATCGCCGCCGAAATGTCAAAAATCGTCAAGTGCCGAGATTTTGCAGCGCCGAAATTTTGTATATTTACAGTAGTTAGGTGCATAAATACTCTATCAGTATGTATGTGCGGTGAAGTCCGCCCGCTGCTGCCAACTCGCACCGTCTCCGTGAAAGGTGTAAAAACCTGCGCCGACTGACCCCATGCATCGTCTCCCGTGCAGTAAGCTACATAGCGAACTTCTGTGTTTTCCGGAGTAGAATTATGACGCATGTTACCAGGGGTGAAACAATTATACCGAATACTCGAGTACTCGCTCGGTTTTTTCAAAAATAATCGTACAGGTCGTCCCCCGTTAATACGAGTCCGGTTAGTACATAAACCCTGTTAGGACATAAGAAATCTCAAGTCCCGGACGAAACGTGGTCACTTCCATACAAATTTTGTCGGTTAGTACATAATTCGTTAGTACATAAACCCCGTTAGTACATAACATTTCTCCGTATCCGCATGCCAGCTACCTCAATAGTACATAATTTGTTGGTCTTTTGGCCTTCCAGTGGAGGCACGTCGTGTTCTAGTTTCTACTTGTGGACGCAATTAGCTCAGAAATCAGAGCGCACATCACAAACCGACAAAGCTCTGTTTTTTTCCGAGTGACTGTACAGGCGCAGCTGGGCATGTATCATGTAAACTGTAGAATCGTCGCTGACTGTGACTGTTATAACATAATTTTTATGTTATATCGAGGGAATCAAGAATATCTCGCTCCCTAGTCATGGCAGCAAGAAACACTCAGAAAAGTTGAAAAAAGTGAAAAATTCTGGTATACAAGCAAGTTATGTACACTTTCGTTTAGTACATGAACCCCGTTAATACATAACATTTGTCAAGTCCCAGAGATTATGTATTAACGAGGGACGACCTGTACTCTGAATAAATCATAGTACTCGTTCATACATGGTAAGACATTTACCACAGAAATCTGCAGCTTCACAGCAGCAGTCGGTAGATATTGATGTGCAGACTGTATGGTGAACATTTGTTCACGAGTAGAGAGAGCCCAAATGACCCACCAACCAATACACCCCTGAAAAATGACTGCTACTTGGTTCAATCAGGGTTTTATCCTGTGATTTTAAGGCCCTTGGTGTGCAATTTTTAGGAGATGAAGAATACTCGAATATTCGATCGGAGAAAATCAGAGTACTCGAACTCGGGATCTCAGTGCCACCTTTCACCCCTACCTTTTACACACTCGAGATTCACAGCAACTGTTTCAAGTACACTCTTGCCTCGGTTATCCGGACCCCAAAGTTAAGGGCACTTTTGGTCTACCGGGCACCCTTTGGAGGAGTTTTAGTGGAAATATTACTACTCTTTGCCACCTTTTGTGGAAAGAGTGATGTCTCATCAATTACCTATGGTCTTTCCACATCAAAATGTATGTGAATCGGAGTTGTGGGCATTTAAATGTTCCGGGCAGTGCCTGGTCTCGGACCACCCGGATGGACGAGATACGAGTGCATTCCAGACGAGGATTGTAACAAACCGTGCTCAAAATGTCATGAGTCGGCGAAGATTGGTCGCTATAGTAGCGTTGTTTGAATGTTGTTGCTGTTAATCCAGTATACTCCTTCTTCTCTGTACCTGTGGTGGCTCTTGCCTTATACACGATGTTCTCTGTTAGACACGCGCTGTCAGTGAACACAATTCTTTCTTCCGACAGTTACAAGTCCTGGTGTCGTTGTCACCTCCACTGGCTTGTTTCTTGGGTAGTAGAATCGTGTTATTGTGTCGTTTGATGATGATGGTGGCCATATTCTGTATACAACTATTGCGAACGTTTTCCCAGTTACGGTTGAAGATTTGTGTGAGGTTTGAGCCTTTAGGGAAGTGTTTGGCCACTAGCTAGAGGAAGGCATGTCCGACGTCGATGGCGACGTTCTTGCCGAATGGCGGACTGAGCCATAATGTTCCGGTGACGATTCATTTTCTTCTTCCTTGTTGGGTCCGCTTTACGCTCATCAAAGTACTGTATTTTCTCCCGGTATCCGCACTCTCTCTGTGTGTGAGTGTGTCACTGTAGATGGGACTAGCCTCTGGGGACACGTCCTCAAAAATAGAGATAAGTAAGTCGAAATATAGACATGCAATCTCTCTTGCCTTTTTATCCGTCTGCGTCTCTGTCCCTTCTGCTAGATTCTCAAGTGTTCCGAATTTAACGTGGCTGAGAGTGCGCGTGTGCCCAAGCGCTTCATAATCCACAAATATGCTCTGGAAGAGGCGGAAAGGCAATGCATAGATAGGCAATGCAAAGATGAAGATCCAAATTGCGACCTTGGACCCCCTCGGTCAGCGCCTAATGGGAACGGTCTCCTTGTTACGCTCCGCATCGGTTTTACTCAAGCCCTGGTGGAGCAGATTGGGCGTAACTCCAATTACCCGCGAGAGGTCAGCTGGAAGGACCTGGTGCCAAGATGCATTCAAAGAGGCATTGGTTACAGCTTCAGTGATTTGGCGGCGGAATTTCCCCATCTGGGAATTGCAGAGTTGGACTGGGAGAACTGCATTGGAATCAACACTCTATGTGTTTGGAGAGAAAAGTCTGGACTAACCGGAAGTGTAATAGCGGAGATTAGAACCGAGACTGTCCAACAAGGTAAGTCTTTCTTTTCCTCTTTTCTTTTGTGGAGAAGCTAGTAAAGAGAAAAATGGCAACATATTCAATATGCCGGTGTGGAGACTAAAAACCAGATATCGATGAAACAAAAGTGAGTGCAAGCATCCCACGAGAACAATGGAAAAATAGTCTGTCCTACTCTTCTCAGTGTGGTGGCGATTTCTGATGATTTCCACATGAAACACGACCTTAAAATCGTGTAATATTGTTCCATTGTTCTCGTGGTATGAAAGCTCTCACTTTACTTTCATCGATATATTAACTACAGAGTTTTGTGAATATTCCAGTCGGAGACCAGATAGCAATTTTTGATAGAAACACAACAAATATTTTTTATGGACGAAGAGGAGAAGAACACAATGGTACAATTTGTGACTAACTGTCCACCAGCGTAACCAGATCATTATACCATCCGGGTTTGATATTTTCGCGGCATGTGATTCCTGTCGAGCATTGTAATCTCATGACATAAAGCATATCCTTAGATAGAGCGCACTAGCCCGGAACTATACTTAAACACCCTTCAGAGGCGCCACGAAAAAATGACTACACCTGGAATAGACGGTGAGCATTTCAAATCCTGAAGATTCTGAAATGAATCGTTGACCCTGTTTTTTTTTCTTCTTCAACCTCCCATGTAGCGTACTTCATCCGACAATTCTATGACGCTCCTCTGCTGATGGAGAATCGTCAGTGCAACGGGCGTGTTTATGCTGGAGAGTGTCCTGTCCGTGGCCGTGACAAGGTGAGAAGATATCTGTGGACTCCCCACGTGCTGAGCATGACGCAACATGCTGCTAAACCACCGGTGATTACCCTAGTGGAAGACCTTCTCATAGAACTTCCTAGCAAGGCCAGTCAGCGAGTCAGGCGACGCCGCTTGTCGCTGCAAGCCTTCACCAAAGCACAACGTTCGCTCGCCGAAGCGCATTCCGACCAAACACTCCTGTTTGCCTATGCTGTTGAAGTTGTCTATGCCGATGGTCCGATCATGGTTACTGGATATGTGTTGGCGGAGGGTGACGATCTAGATGAATTCATTGACCACAAACAAAGGGAAAACTCTAACATGTAAGTCGAGTGAGCCTTATTGTATGTTTGACAAAGGGAAGGGAGGGAGGGAGAGAGAGAAGGAGAGAGATAGAGAGAGTGGGAGGGGGGGGGGGGGGGGGAGGGAGACTTTCGCGTCTGGGCTTGAGAAATTTTCTGGGGCTGTTTGTGCGAATTTTGTGTTTTGCATGATTTAAGCTCCAAGTCAGTATTCCTGCACTTGTGCTTGTTTGAGAGGAAGTGCTCTTCATTGAGGATTTATAGAGGAAGTGCTCTTCATTGAGGATTTATTTTTTGTGAGAGTGGTCGCTCTGAGACGAGAGCTCTTTGACAGCATTGTCCATGGCCGCAGACAAAACGTATGTGTTGGCCTGTGCGTCTAACCCAGTTCGATCTGCAACCCGAGTACAGGATCACTGATGAGGCTGAAGTAGAGTAACCCTCTTGCGCATGTTGTACGTAATGTAATGATTGATACATACTTTCGATATTGATTTCGCTGGTGCACACGTTGGTGCAGTGCTGGTGCACGCGCTGATGCACGCGCTGGTGCAGCCAGTTGTTTTCTGCTGTACGTGATGCAGCTTGTTGAGGAGAAGGGTTTTCAATATCTTGTGTTCAGTTCTTCTTGCTTCTGGCCTGGTCGAGGTCGTGCTTTTTTCTTCTGTAAACTTCTTGTGCGTTTGGAATTGAAATTAATAATTATAGTCTAACTTATATCCTTGCGCTGGTCTGGTGGTGGATAATTCCACAACAAGGCCGACTTCGAGAAGGTGGGCAGGCAGGAGATCGGAGTTGGTTGCGGAGATGGTGCATCGACGCATCATGGGCTGCCGTACCACAACACTAGCACCAATAGCAACTGGTAGATCACTGGCTACTGGAATATGAAGTACAACGCAGTGACTGAGGGTGGTTCACCACTGGTCGGCGATCAGCAAAAATGACCGTACTGCGAAAGTTCGTTCCACGTTTCCTTCAACTTTCAGGTTCACAGCTGAGAATGTTCGCGCGAAGTTATGGTTTTCGTCACGTCAAACAAAAATTGGCGCGAACGCTCGCTCTGCAATTTTTTTCCATTTTAACCTTTTAAATACCATAGATCCATCGGATGCTGCACAGCGGGGCGGTGGCATATTGGATGGAAGTGGGGGTGGCGTACAAGTAACTCCTCTGGCTAGGGGTTTTCGGATTCATATTACTCTTACTCGTGTGCACCGCAGTCATGTGATAGTCACTGAGGATCGAAACCAGGGCCTCCCCGATTACAGGTCGATTGCTCTGCTACTATGCTTTGGGTACCAGATCGATTAGAGCACCTTTTCTTTTTTTTCTCTTTTTTTCCTTAACTCCCTTCCCGTGCCTAGCCCTGCCCAGCACTTACACGGAATATAACTTCTTATTTTGTGTTTTGTGTTACTGTTTCTCTATTAAAATAGCAATGAATAGAACTAATTATGCTCTCATAACCATGTTCATGACAATAATTATTATAAAATGAAAAATTCCAGAACGTTTTCTCGTGACTATCATCAGTGGAACATCGTCACATGGTAAGAATCACTAAAAACAACCAAGTTAACTTAACTCATATAGCTTTGGACAATAATCAAAAAATAGCAGCTCACGGTTACACATGGCGTCAATTACACCAGCAGTGTGGGTTTATGCATTGAATGTGAAAATGGTAGCGGTAGATGAATGTGGCAGCTGTGTGTGCGTCATGAGAAAACGTTCTGGAACTTTTATAATAATTATTGTTTTATACATCTACATGGTTATGAGTGCACAAATAGTTTTATTCCCGTAGCTATGCAGAAGACGTTACTTCAGTAACGTCTGGCGCTAGCCAGGGTCCACACAGCTTAAATTTGGTGTTTGTTTGTTTGTGTGTTTGTGTCACGCCTGGAGCTACCGTATCTGTCCCGCAACTGTCCCGTATCTGTGATTTGGTGTTTGTTTGTTTGTGTGTTTGTGTCACGCCTGGAGCTACCGTATCTGTCCCGTATCTGTGACTACAAAGGTTCTACAGGATTGTACATAACAGCTGGCCACAAACAGCTGGCCACAATATTCGTCGTATTATGTATACGACTCCCTGATGTAGAGGGAGATTTGGAAAGAAAATTAATAGGGAGACGAGGAGGAAATAAAATTAGAATGGACGCTAGTTGCGGAAAAGGTGATAGGATGCGTCAGCAAAACATACTTTGGAAGAGAGATCCTTTGGAAGAGAGATCCCGTCGTCTCCAAAATAAGCGTGAACGGGCAATTCAGCGCCGGTCGCAAGAAATGTCGGAAGAGAGATCCTGTCGACTCCAGAACGCCCGTGATCGGCAGATCAGCGCCGGTCCCAGGAAACGTCAGGACAGACATCTCGTCGACTCCAAAATAAGCGTGAACGGGCAATTCAGCGCCGGTCACAGGAAACGTCGGAAGAGAGATCCCGTCCAGGCCAGAACGCCTGTGATCGGCAGAGTCAGCGCCGGTCACAGGAAACGTCAAGACAGAAATCAGGAAATTTTTGCCTAGCTCATCGTACATGTTACTAGAACTGATGGAAATGTTTTTTTTCCGTTGATTGGCTACATCATTGTATTGCAAAAACGTTTCAATCAGTTTGAATATGAGTTAGGCAAAAGTATTTGCAGAATTTATTGCGGATTGTTATTTTTCTCTCACTTCATCCGCTTTTGGTTTGCTCCTTCTTTTCCTTTTTATCTCCATAAAATCGGATTTTCTGACCTTTTTACATTAAAAGCATAGCGTAGGGCCCGTCCAAGCTTCCAAGCTCTCTCGTTCCCTTAGCTATTTTACGACTATTGTCTCCTCGTAGGTTATTGTTTCTGTATTATTTGTATTTCAAGGCATACCCCGGCCCGAGGCTATAGGTATTATCAAGAGTCCATAACCCAAGAGTATGCAACTGTGATTATGGGGGCATGCGTGGCGCGCTGCCTTCATTACGTAACTTGCCTTCATCACACTCTGAAAGCATGCATTCAAACTCTCAATTTCTCGCACGAGCCCATCCGTTTTTGCTCGATTCGTTCCAGTACCTACACAATCTCTGAATTCTGGCGCGTGAACTCCAGTTCCGTACGAAAGTTCGTTTCAAACTAGAGGGAAAGTGCGGTGTTTGATTTTCCGCAGTGCGCGGACTGCAGCTGAATGATGTAATGAAGGCAGCGCGCCGCGCGGTTGGCCCATAGAAAAGAGATCACAGTTGCATACTCTTGGGTTATGGACTCTTGGTATTATTGAGTACAGGACCATTCTGGACTATTCAGCCCATATTACTCAATCTGCGGACAGAACTGTTTCGTCCTTTGTGGACTCATCAGCGCAGCACAGAGAAAATGAGGCCGAACCTTGTAGCAATGAAAATACATTTCCAAAGCCAGATTTAAACCAGGTCCGAATGTACCTTGCCAGAGTGCTCAAACTGACAAGTCGCAAACAGCAAAGGCACAACCCAACATGAGAGTGCTCAACTGCTACAAGAGCAGGAGCAAAATACTCAATCTGCATCCATATTAATGTATTTTTTTAGCTAGACTGTACATTAGCCATCCACTGTTTGCTACCTTTACCCTTCCACCTCCCATTATAATGGAACTCCCTACAATTTAGATCTCGTTCACACGACAACGATAGAAAAACGTTTTTGTCAAAAACGTTTTCAAAAGAATACGCTTCCACAGACTAGACTTTGATAAGAGCGTTTACACGACAACGCTGAAAAACGTTTCAAAAATGTAAGGCCTCATTTACACAACAACGATTGAAAAACGTTTTTCAATCGTTTTCGAAACGTTTTTGCTGTTTACACGGAAACGATAATCGTGCACACTGCAACACGTTTTTCGGCGCGCGCACAATGGTCACGTGCAATAAGTTGGCCGGACGCAGGCTGGCAGTGGCATCTTTTGAGTACAAGGCTCGTACTAGTAAAACGTTTTTGCCGTTTACACGAGAACGAAATGGAACGAAAACAATTGAAAAACACTTTGAAGGCCGTTTTTCGTTTGAAACCTTTTAGACTATGACTTTGGGAGATCCTCAAATGTACGATAATAATAATAAACGAGAGAGCTTGGAAGCTCAGGGCCCTACGCTATGCTTTTATGCTTTTTTGCCTAGCTCATTGTACATGTTATAAGAACTGATGGAAACGTCTTTTTCCGTCGATTGGCCACATCACTGTATTGCAAAACGTTTCAATCGGTTTGAATATTATGAGTTAGGCAAAAGTATTTGCAGAATTTATTGCGGATTGTTATTTCTCTAATAATCATCTACTTTTGGTTTGCTCCTTCTTTTCTTTTTATCTCCTTATACTGTAAATCAACAAATTTTGGCCGATTAGAAAGTTAAGATGCACGTTATTTCCGACGTGACGCGCAATTTCACGTCAAATTTGAAATCGATAGGTATTTTTGCTCTCACATGCATCCATTGCTCAATCGTGCATCATTTGCCTATATGACAAACTTTGGCCTGCGATTTACTTTGGCCGGTTGGTACCAAGCGGCGAAATCAGCGAAATTAAATCGCCAGCGAAAATTAGTTGATTCAGTAATCGGATTTTCTGGCCTTTTTGTAGTAATACATGTACATTGACCTGTTGAGCCAATGACGACGCCGAATGCATGGTTGCCTGTGGAGCACATTACATAACTTTACAGTCTCCTAAAATACGTATCCTGTCCGACGGCAAAAGAGGCTGCAGATTTAGTTTTTCTGCGCGTCGACGAGATGTCTGTCCTGACGTTTACTGGGACCGGCGCTGACTCTGCCGATCACGGGCGTTCTGGACTCGACGGGATGTCTGTCCTGACGTTTCCTTGGACCGGCTTAGCCTGTGCCGATCACGGGCGTTCTGGACTTAACGGGATTTCACTCCTGACGTTGCCTGGGACCGGCGGACTCTGCCGATCACGGGCGTTCTGGAGTCGACGGGATCTCTCTTCCGACGTTTCCTGTGACCGGCGCTGAAGCGCTCGTTCACGCTTATTTTGGAGACGACGGGATCTCTCTTCCAAAGTATGTGTATGCTGACGCATCCTATCACCTATTCGGCATCTATTCTAATTTAATTTCCTCCTCGTCTCCCTATTTCTTTCCAAATCTTCCTCTACATCAGGGAGCCGTATACATAATACGACGAATATTGGTACGGTACGGGACAGATACAGGAGCCTGCAAATATTGTGGACAGCTGTTATGTACAATCCTGTAGAGCCTTTGTAGTCACAGATACGGGACAGATACGGGATAGCTCCAGCCGTGACACAAACAAACAAACAAACAAACAAACACCAAATTAAAGCTGTGTGGACCCTGGCTAGCGCCAGACGTTACTGAAGTAACGTCTTCTGCATAGCTACGGGAAAAATAAAATAATAATGATGATCATCCTAACTATATTGGCTCAACATCCGAGTTTAAAATAATAATAATGAAAATACTACAACGTGCCTACTCGCACAAACACCGGTCTTCTCTGGTGGGACAACAGCAATGGCAAGAAGAATGTACCGACTGCTATGCATGCACAGACTGCTCTGCATGCACCGACTGCTATGCATGCACCGACTGCTGTGCATGCACCGACTGCTATGCATGCACCGACTGCTGTGCATGCACCGACTGCTATGCATTCACCGATTGCTATGCATGCACCGACTGCTATACATGCACCGACTGCTATGCATGCACCGACTGCTATGCATGCACCGACTGCTTTGCATGCACCAATTGCTATGCATGCACCGACTGCTTGCATGGACTGACTGATATTCTTGCACCGACTGCTATGCATTCACCGACTGCCATTCTTGCACCGACTCAGACTGCCATTCATGCACCGACTGCTATGCATGCACTGACTGCTATGCATACACCGACTGCTATGCATACACCGACTGCAATGCATGCACCAATTGCTATGCATGCATCGGCTGCTATGCATGCATCGGCTGCTATGCATGCATCGACTGCTATGCATGCACCTATGCATGCATCGGCTGCTATGTATGCATCGGCTGCTATGTATGCATCGGCTGCTATGCATGCACCGACTGCTATGCATGCACGGACTGCTATGCACGCACCGACTGCTATGCATACGTCGACTGCTATGCATGCGTCGACTGCTATGCATGCATCGGCTGCTATGCATGCACCGACTGCTATGCATGCACCTATGCATGCATCGGCTGCTATGTATGCATCGGCTGCTATGCATGCACCTATGCATGCATCGGCTGCTATGTATGCATCGGCTGCTATGCATGCACGGACTGCTATGCACGCACCGACTGCTATGCATACGTCGACTGCTATGCATGCGTCGACTGCTATGCATGCATCGGCTGCTATGCATGCACCGACTGCTATGCAGGCACCGACTGCTCTGCAGGCACCGGCTGCTATGCATGCACCGACTGCCATTCATGTACCGACTGCTATGCATGCACCGACTGCTATGCATGCACAGACTGCTATGCATACACCGACTGTTCGGTCCTCCACCTTCTTCCATCATACGATTAGTAATATTACTACATGTATTAATAGGTCGCGACACTGAGTTTAAGGGACCATCGCAAAAGTTCGCAGAAGCCCCTGAAACGAAGAGCATACGTTTGGGGGGGGGGGGGGGGGGGAGGGAGTCGGTGCGAAAATCGCAAACCGGGCTTCAATTCAAAAAAGTATTGACGACATAATTATAGGAGCTGTAGGATTAGCATGCCATCACAGCGGGCGTAGATCGCTTGTCAGGACGCGTAGTCCATTCATGCAACTGCGCGTGTCGCGTAGCTGGCTGCCTGTACACTGTGTGTAGTCTAGTACCAAGAGTCCATAAAACGCGTGGTTTATGGACTCTTGCTAGTACCGTAAAGTACCGCCAGAGCGCCCCGTCTCGCGAGAGCGCCCCACCTTGATTTTACAGCCAGAGAAAGGAAAATCGTATGGCAGAGTGCAACGAAGTTCGTACGATGTAAGAAGCTTAGTGTACTAAGGTCACACTTGGCAGGTTTTTGTGTGGAGCTTGTGTCCACTCGAAGGTACGGATTGAATGCAAAACGTGCTATATGTGTACAAGGTTCATATCGTATGACCTACAGACAGCAGACCACCTCGACAATACGACCACGAAAGGACGAGATGGTGGGGCGCTCTGGCGGTACTTTACGGTACTAGTACTAGGAGGGGTTCATAGGGTTTATGAACCCCTGCTGTATTATTAATATTATAATAATTATTATGTGTGAGCATCCAAGTGAAATAATGAAGGCCATATTGTGACTGTCGTTTCGTTTGAGGGGGGAGGGAGGGGGGTCAGGCCCGAAACTCACGGTCTTCGTTTCGGGGGCTTCTGCGAACTTTTGCGATGGTCCCTAATATGTCTTGTCTCATGTCACCATCTGTGCATACGCGGGTCGGGCATACGCGCGTGCTCGCGGCTCGCGCGAACTGAACCATGTGAACCGTGTGAACCGTGAGCAGTACTTTCATCCATATTTGCATGCAACCTGCCCTTATTCATACATGTACTGATAGAGTAGTCAGTGCTGTTGTTAGTTTTCTGTTTCGCAAGTGGAGACAAGTTGTAGTTTGTTTTCCTCTGCTCGAATGATGTGTTTGTTCTTGCAATAAGTCCTTCCGAATAATACCTTTCTCCTTGTCTGAGTCCTGTTCCATCGTGTCTGTTGTGAGAGTCAAGTGACTTTATTAGTGAGGGTTGTGACAGCCCGGACAGCACGAGATTACGAGTCCAGTGATCCGACACCGACTGCTATGCATGCACCGACTTTTCTCTTTCACTCTGTGTTCTGCCTATCTTAAAAACAGTCAAGTTGCCAGCGACGACGACAATGGAAAGATCCAGAGTAAAATATTCGATTTTCCAAGCTTTTATGCAGCACGGCGCGCTACAGTGCTTGTGAGGAGTCTGGCGGTGCAGCAGGAAAAAAGGCACTTTGACATCATCCGCACAATCATCGAAAAGGTCCCACGGGAATACACAGTAAATCTGGTATCGGTGACGTCTCTGATTGATCCATCCGGCCCGTACCTAAAGGTGGTATTTGACATTCTGGGAGCCCCAACTGACGGTAAAGGCGACTCATTTGAAGGGCAGATGGAGGTGAGAATTGTTAAAAGGCATGAGCCGCTATTGGGTCTCTCACTCCCTGTCTCTCTCTTCTCTCCCTCTTCTCTCTTTTCCCCCTTCTCTCTCTCTCTCTCTCTCTCTCTCTCTCTCTCTCTTTTCTCTTCTCCTTTTTTTCTCCGTTCACTTTTCCCTCACTGCCTAAAACACAGTCGAGACGGTTTTTTACCCACAATTTATTTGGTGCGAGTTCCATACCATTTCACATCTCTCCTCTTCTCTCTCCACTCTCTGTTTTTGGTGCGAATTACACTCCTTCTCTCTCTCTTCATCATAGATTAGCAGTGCACTGTTCAACACGCTACACGATCATAGGTTTGCAATGCACTGTTCAACAGGATACACGACCATTGATTAGCAATGCACTGTTCAACACCCCACACAACCAAAGATTTGCAATGCACTGTTCAACACGCTACACGACCATAGCTTTGCAATGCACTGTTCAGCACGCTACACGACCATAGATTTGCAATGCACTGTTCAACACCCTACACAACCATAGATCCTGCATAGCGTTACCTACATATTGGCATACATGGAACGGGATTTGGGGTCTTTGGCCACTTTGATGGTTGACCTGATTTACTGACCTCGCAACTCGTTTTAGGAGCCGCAGCTGAACACTAATCTGTGCAGTGTGTTAACGGTCCTAAGGATGTGGATATACTCGGTCTATTAAACTGAGCCTGACGGGGAAATGTGAACTTGTTTTAACCCGTACGACCGTGTGTTTTGGATTTGTTCTACTGCCACTACTATCACTACACAGCTTGCGGAAAATATTGCACTTGCCTTCACTGCCCTCGATAAGGCCGACGTTTATGCCCAGCTATCGGAGCGGTTTCAAAGGAAACCAGACAAGGTAACGTTCAGCAAAGACATGACCTGGAAAGAGGACACTAAACAGTTTGACTTGGGCACAATACAACAGCAAGCGCAAGGTCAGGTAGCACAACAAGGAGACGACGCACAGGAAGTAAAAAGAATTGAGCAACACTCACAAGGCGTGAGCGTCAGCGTGCTCAAACGTGCGAGAACAGGGGGCATAGGCCAGGGGAATCCCCTAGTCGGTCACCATTCCCAATTGGTCGGTTGGAAGATAGTCGGCACTGATGACGCAAACTTCGGACCCGATCCCGAGATCTTCCTGGAATTCGAGACGCTGCAAGTCTGGAAGACCTCAGCCCCTCAGCAAAACCCCAGTGGGGTAAATGCACGACAACTCTCCTACAAGGTTCTTCATGAGGGCCTAAAGCAACTAGGGCACAACGCGATTTTCATCTTCGAGAGAGTCAAGGAGCCCGGAAACCTCGTTGTGGGACTTCAGAGGATGGCAGATGTGAGTACTGTTCTTGGTCACAGCGTACTGAAAGAGAAAACGCTCACTGACAAGCTTTCACCCTTTGTTGTGAATTTGGCAGATGCCAGAATACAATGTGGCGCATGCAACCAGAAAACATAACTATCCATCACTACAGCCAGGTGATGTAGTGATGCATTCTAACACATGCCTGACACATGCCTGACACATGCCTGACACATGCCTGACACATGCCTGACACATGCCTGACACATGCCTGACACGTGCCTGACACATGCCCGACACATGCCTGACACATGCCTGACACATGCCTGACACATGCCTGGCACATGCCTGGCACATGCCTGGCACATGCCTGGCACATGCCTGGCACATGCCTGGCACATGCTTGACACATGCTTGACACATGCCTGACACATGCCTGACACATGCCTGACACATGCCTGACACATGCCTGACACATGCCTGACACATGCCTGACACATGCCTGACACATGCCTGACACATGCCTGACACATGCCTGACACATGCCTGACACATGCCTGACACATGCCTGACACATGCCTGACACATGCCTGACACATGCCTGACACATGCATGACACATGCATGACACATGCATGACACATGCCTGACACATGCCTGACACATGCCTGACACATGCCTGACACATGCCTGACACATGCCTGACACATGCCTGACACATGCCTGACACATGCCTGACACATGCCTGACACATGCCTGACACATGCCTGACACATGCCTGACACATGCCTGACACATGCCTGACACATGCCTGGCACATGCCTGGCACATGCCTGGCACATGCCTGGCACATGCCTGGCACATGCCTGGCACATGCCTGACACATGCCTGACACATGCCTGACACATGCCTGACACATGCCTGACACATGCCTGACACATGCCTGACACATGCCTGGCACATGCCTGGCACATGCCTGGCACATGCCTGGCACATGCCTGGCACATGCCTGACACATGCCTGACACATGCCTGACACATGCCTGACACATGCCTGACACATGCCTGACACATGCCTGGCACATGCCTGGCACATGCCTGGCACATGCCTGGCACATGCTTGACACATGCCTGACACATGCCTGACACATGCCTGACACATGCCTGGCACATGCCTGGCACATGCCTGGCACATGCCTGGCACATGCCTGACACATGCCTGACACATGCCTGACACATGCCTGACACATGCCTGACACATGCCTGACACATGCCTGACACATGCCTGACGCATGCCTGACGCATGCCTGACGCATGCCCGACGCATGCCCGACATATGCCTGACATATGCCCGACACATGCCTGACACATGCCTGACACAAGCCTGACACATGCCTGACATGTGTCAGTCATATGCCAGACATGACAGGAGCAAAACTCAGGTATCTGTTAGGCATGTGCCCGGAATGACAGGAGCAAAACTCTCCATTAAATTTTGAGTTGCTAGTGTTTTGGTCTATGTTTGTTGTGTCATTGGCGAGCACGTGAATGGTTTGGACTCTTTTCAAGCATATGCTATTTATACATTAAAAACAATCCTGTTGGAAGCCGCATTAGGGTCGAATCCTGGCTAAACACCAACCTAATTTAAGTTTGAAAATCTGGCCATACATCTCCACAAGCTGTCCACTGTCGGCTTATGCCTGTTTGATGAAGCCTTAGCAGAGTTATAACTCCCTACCCTTTCACTTCTTCTGTGTGCAAGCACGGGTGCTTGTGTGTTTGTGTGTGTGTATGTCTGTGTGTGTGTATATGTGTGTATGAATGTCTCTGTGTGTATGTGTGTGTGCATCATGTGTGTGTGTGTATGTGTGTGTGTGTATGTGTGTGTGTATGTGTGTGTGTGTATATGTGTGTGTGTGTATATGTGTGTGCATATGTGTGTGTGTATATGTGTGTGTATATAGTTGTGTGTGTGTGTATATATGTGTGTGTATGTCTCTGTGTGTATGTATGTGTGTGTATATGTGTGAGTGTATATATGTGTGTGTATGTATGTGCATGCCAAATATTGTTGACTTTGCGATTTCTCTCTCTTCTCTTCTCTCTTCTTGTCGTTGTCTCCCGTTTCTGGGAGCGACGTGGCCCGATAGGGTAGCTGTACATAGTAGTAGTAGTAGTAGTAGTAGTAGTATGTATGTGTGTATGTATGTATGTGTGTATGTGTATATGTGTGTGTATATGATCCAGCCGCAAAAGCTGTCTAATCTACTGGATGCTGAGTACGGTACTGATAAAAATCACTACGCCTACCTTGGCTCGAACGGAGTGAAGGAGCTTAAGGGCTACACCGGGAGAACCTCGGAACAACGTAGGACTTTTAAACTCAGCTCTTACAGTGGAATGGGATTCATGGACATTACTCAGTTCAAGGACGTCCTGAACGGCGCAGAAAATATGGAGAATGAGCCCGTCAAGGCGAAAGAAGACAACCCCAAAGTACCCGTGCTCGTCGCGGAGTATTTCGACCAAAACCTGCAAGACGGCGGCAGTGAACAGGTGAGTAAGACCAATGATGATGCAGTCCATGCCTGTGTGAAGTCACACACGTAATGATGCAGCAGTCCATGCCAGTGTGAAGTCACACGCGCAGCCGGCATGGCCCACAGTGAGCCGTGCACACACCCCCCCCCCCTTTAAAAATGTCGACCTTTGTTTGCTGTTGGTTTGTTGGAGTTTATTTTACTCTGTTTTCACATCTCATTGAACGGGGACTACCGACCCAAACAAACGTAAGGGAGAATATGGAAAGAAAGTAGCAAAGGGAGGAAAGGAGATAAGTGACAGGAAGACAGAAGAAAATCACCGTCTAGCTTCAACATGCACGTGATGGCCATGAATGAAATGCACCAGCCATCCTACACAGCCATACTCGTATGCAGCCGTGCACCACCCCCCCCCCCCCCCCCCGCAAAAAAGGGGAACAGCTATGCCGCTGGAAGTATAATTTTTTTTACAAGATCACAAGTCACCGGCAGGCACATGGGTATACCCGTATTTTGGGCAATACAATCCGAGGCACCTACTGTCGTGGACATGGACATCCAGTCGATTTACCGGGGCGGTGCCCTCAGCGCGTACAGAACTGCGCTTGATCCGATGCGACCAGCGGGCTGCAGCACATGTGTACTGCTTACCCACGGCTGCATGGCCAGCTCCCTGGGGCCGCTGGATGTGCGACCGGATTTCCATGTCCACGGCAGTACATGTGATAGTGAGTAAAGTCAACTTCGCTAATAACGACTGCGGATATTACGACAATTCGCGAATAACGACAACATTTCCGTGCCCAGAGCAAAGTCCCTTCCAACTGTAATACATATAATGAGACTTTGGGTATAACGACACTTCGCGAATAAGGACACTTTTTTGATGCCCCGCCGAGTGTCGTTATAAGCGAAGTTGACTGTAGTCTGCTACCTCCAACATGTCACCCAATTTGAACTTTCCCACAAATCTGAAGAAGGGCCGAGGCTTGCTGCAGTTTCATCTCCGAAAGGAATTCGGGTGGACACACCCATTCACATAGCGCTGCACATCCGAACCGGTTCTGTTATTTCACACCGTCCACACAAAGGCCCTAGAATGATGTGGCGCTTATTAACCCTTTCAGCCCGCCGCTGTAGTAGAGGAGGAGGAGGCCAAGCACCAGTTTCCAACAGCACAGCATACTAGTACTGTCATTGTCCTGTGTGCACATGGCCTGTGTGCACATGGCCTGTGTGCACATGGCCTGTGTGCACATGGCCTGTGTGCACATGGCCTGTGTGCACATGGCCTGTGTGCACATGGCCTGTGTGCACATGGCCTGTGTGCACATGGCCTGTGTGCACATGGCCTGTGTGCACATGGCCTGTGTGCACATGACCTGTGTGCATATGGCCTGTGTGCACATGGCCTGTGTGCACATGGCCTGTGTGCACATGTCCTGTGTGCACATGGCCTGTGTGCACATGGCCTGTGTGCACATGGCCTGTGTGCACATGGCTTGTGTGCACATGGCCTGTGTGCACATGGCCTGTGTGCACATGGCCTGTGTGCACATGGCCTGCGTGGCTGGCAACATGTTAGGTGCATTGACCTTCCAGACGTACGGGAGGGCCTCACAAGATCTTCCAGACGTATGGGAGAGCCTCAAAAGACCTTCCACACGTACGGGAGGGCCTCACATGCCGTTCAATTCCCAGCGCGAGTGAATACTGCTCTCAACCTTTGCAGGCGCGACGCATCCGAGATTGGGCACCTGCATGACTTTGCTTGGGGAGGCAAGGGCGGTGGGGGAGAGAAGATGAGCACTGCCCTCACTATACCGAGCTCTGTGAAGCAGGAGGTCTCTGACACCCCCCCCCCCCATACGATTAGAATTGACTATGGACTACCTTCACCTTTGCCTCGGCGGCACATGTACATGCAATATGCTCCACGCCAGTTGGATATATACTCAGGAAAATAGGCTAATGAATGACACAAACTCTCTCTCTCGTTCTCTCTCCCTCTCTCTCTCTCTCTCCCCCCCCCCCTCTCTCTCTTTCTCTCTCTCTCTCTTTCTCTCTCTCTCTTTCTCTCTCTCTCTCTCTCTCTCTCTCTCTCTTTCTCTCTTTCTCTCATTCTCTCATTCTCTCTCTCTCTGTCTTTCTCTCTCCCTCTCTCTCCCTCTCTCTCCCTCTCTCTCTTTCTCTCTCTCTCTCTCTCTCTCTCTCTCTCTCTCTCTCTCTCTCTCTCTCTCTCTCTCTCTCTCTCTCTCTCTTTCTCTCTTTCTCTCATTCTCTCATTCTCTCTCTCTCTGTCTTTCTCTCTCCCTCTCTCTCCCTCTCTCTCCCTCTCTCTCTTTCTCTCTCTCTCTCTCTCTCTCTCTCTCTCTCTCTCTCTCTCTCTCTCTCTCTCTCTCTCTCTCTCTCTCTCTCTCTCTTTTTCTGTGTCTCCATCTCTCCATTGCCTGACCTATGTAGTATATATTGTGTCTGTTTGTGTGCAGGAAACGGAAACGGTGACGAAACTTGTGAAAATTGCCACACAGCCGTGCATTCCCCACCCGCTGGGCCAGTTTGCAAGCGCGCAGAGAGTCCAGAGCCGCAAGCATGTATTCTACATGGGCTTGGGGCCACTGGGAACTTTCGATGAGGTTCAAGAACTCCTCACCGATATATATGGGGAGCAGGCGCGCGTTGTCCAGTGCGAAGGCTGTGTGAGGGTGACCATTGCTATTGACGATGATGACGATGACCCTCACATGCTTCAGAACGTAAGTGTAGAGAGACCTGCATCTCGTTGCGATAAGTCAGCAAATTAATAATAATATTATTAACTTTCTTAGTTAAGGATCAGTCTGGGAAGTGAACTGCCCGAAAAGAGAAAAAATGCCAGACCCACCAGGACTCGAACCCCGTAAAGTTATTATTATGCACAACTCTGTGTTTTAGTCGTTTCTTCGTTCTCCCTGAATGCAACTTTGTTATCTTTCTTGTTCTTTTTTTGTCTCGAGCCGGGTTTGTGTTCTTTGAAGAAAAAATGACCAGAAGCTGTAGTTGCAGCTGAATAACGATTGACAATTCAGCTGGCTCCTTCTTATATTCAGCTCCAAGGGCTGCGAAAACCAATGAACTTGTTCATGGTTGTTTTTTCCCTAAGATAACTGACTAGTCTGTCTAACTGATGAGGGGCAAGGGGAGGGGAATGGGGCGGGGCAGGGGGGAGGGGCAGAGCGGGAGAAAGGGGAGGGGAAAGAGAGATTTTGCTGCCAAGTCGAGCTGCGCTATCCCCCAACTAGACAGGTCAAAATTAATGATGCTAGTCTCTCTGTTTCATCGGAGGTGTGTCCAGCCACTAGTCGGGCGGAAAGTCCACCGACAGGTGGAGCGCTGCAAAGGGACTTGTCAGTTTGAGCACTCTGGCAAAGTACGTTCGGGCCTGGTAAATCTGGCTTTGGAAAATATATGTTTCATTGCTATCAGGTTTGGCGTCATTTCCTCTGTGCTGTGCTGAAGAGTCCACAACGGACGAAACAGTTCTGTCCACAGATTGAGTGTAGGTGTGTAGGTACAGTATGTATGTGTATGTATGTATGTATGTATGTATGTATGTATGTATGTATGTATGTATGTATGTATGTTACACAGGGGACACGATAACGGTCGGACATCGGACATTTTCCGACCATTTTCGATTCGAATCCGGCGCTTTTTTTCTTGAACGGACAATCTGTCCGATCGAAATTCACAAAAAATTATAGCGTCGCTGGGAAAGAGAACGGCTGAGGACAATGGCGCTCTGCCTGGAAAGAAGTCTCACGAAGTGGGAGCAGCAACCTGTGACAAGAGGGTTTCACAGCAAGACAAGGAGCTGTCTACTTCAGTGTAGCTCCAGTTTGAGCGTAGCAAATGATCGAGGAGTTTTGAAATGAAATTTCTTCGCTTTCTCGCTACAATAGGAACTATTACGCGAGGCGCTTGTACAATCCGAAATATTGAAAACGTCCCTGTTCCAGGGAAACAAGGCGTCAGAAATGTGTGCCAGCTTGCGATATGCCTCTATCGAAAGGAGCAGTCTTCTGCAAATCCAGTCAATTACGCTCCTGTTGCACAGGCGCTGTGAAAGATCGACGGAGCAGCAGCAGCGAAGGTTAGTCAGAAATTCAACGTCGCGTAGAAACTACAAAAGAGCACATCGCGTTTGCAAAGATGGGAGCCTTCAGCCAACTCGGGAAGTGACATGTTGTCGATCTTGGAGCTGGCAACAAGAAGTTAGAATGGGCAAGCAGGTGCCCACTTTGTCTTTTGTCGACTGCGTAAAAATGAATGTCTTTGATCTGCCGCTGAAAAACCAGCTCAAATCCGAAATGTGCAGAAACACTGCACGCTCATATCACAGTTGCTATGTTTGCTGAAAAACGCACAGCGATTTGAATCCGTGTTACACTACTTGAGATCTGTGTGATGATCATCCTTGATGTGACCAGCAATACCGCAGTGTGATGTAGCATGTACATGCATGTGTGCATTATGCAGTGGTGTCGTGTGTGAAATTGGTGAAGACAATAATAATAATTTTTTTATTATGAGTACCAGACTTGTAAAAAATCACAGTGTCCGGCCATGTCCGACCGCTTCCAGAAGTGGCAGGACATTGTGTCAGAGCAATTTCGAAATCTTATCGTGTCCCCTGTATGTATGTATGTATGTATGTATGTATGTATGTATGTATGTATGTATGTATGTATGTATGTACTACACACTAGTCAGAACAACAGATGGCTTGATCAGTCACAACTTAAAGTTTCATGCCATCTCAGGCACTCATCAGGTGATATGAACATCAAGAGAAATAACCCACTATTTAAAGCTCAGTATGGCGGGACAAGGATAACAGAAAGCACTAGGGGTATGTATGTATGTATGTATGTATGTAAGTATGTATGTATGTATGTATGTATGTATGTATGTATGTATGTATGTATGTATGTATGTATGTATGTATGTATGTATGTATGTATGTATGTATGTGGCTTTCGCCTTGTTGAGCACTCTCAGTAGGCTGCTCTAGTGCTGCTGCATCGCGTAATGCTCGCTACATTTTGTAGTTTGAGCACTCTGGCGCTAGAGCGACGAGCTACCTTAATGTCTGTGGTGCCTCCTTTGCACCATGGCTGGTAGCTCGGCCTATTTAGCTCGTAGCTGTACTGATGAGGCCTTTATGGCCGAAACAGCTTGCTGTCTACAGCATTGGGTATGTATGTATGTATGTATGTATGTATGTATGTATGTATGTATGTATGTATGTATGTATGTATGTATGTATGTATGTATGTACACACAAAAGGCATAATGGAGTTTTACAGAGTTGTCGCAACTCGGAGTTTCTTGCTCAATGCAATCGTCAGGCGACTACTACATGCTCAGTGGGACTTGGCCAATATAAAGCATAGCCTAGCGATCCAAATTTGAAATAGCGATAGCTGGTTGGTGTTTGATCCAGCGCAGAAAATATTGCCATGATGGCCGTGTGCATGGTTGCTTAGGCGAGGGAGCTATTACAGTACCAGGGTATTAGCGCAGAAAGTGTAGATTGCTATTGAATATAGAAATGGAAGGTGTGAATTTGTACACAGCAGCCAGGGTGTGACGGTAATCCCTCAGAACTGTTTAAGTGTTATTGGTGATGCGGAGGGCTCTAGGCTCACGCGTATGTGCTCGCTTCAGATCGTGTCACAGTACACTGTATATTTGTTTTGCAAGTGCACGCAGGTGTGTATGTGCATGTACATGATTGTACATGTGTGTGTGTGTTTGTGGGTGTGTGTGTGTGTGTGTGTGTGTGTGTGTGCGTGCGTGTGTGTGTGTGCATATGTGTGTATTGGGGATGTTGCACACCTGTGATTATGTCACGGCTGCACTGTGGCTTTTGAGTAGGAATTTGTTGGCGTGTCGGCATTTTGATACAAGTTCACTCCTCTTGTTCAGCAGCGTTGTCTTGTCCGCGGTGATGATCTGCAGTTTTTCTTCCAGGCAAAGGTTGCATCTCTTGCTGATGTTGCTGTAGGCTCAGCGTTTCTTCATGATGGACCATCTGATGGATGTCTGTTTGCCTTTCTCTTTCATGTTCCATGTGTATTTCGAGAGTTCGGTGGCATTCTCGTACTTTGGATGGAACATAGATGATGTGTGGTTGTTGAAACGGTTCTTGAATGCTGGCTCCGTCGAGCCGATGTCTCATCTATGCGCCATCCAAGTACGACAATGCCACCGAACTCTCGAAATACACATGGAAAATGAAAGAGACATGGTGACATTGGTGACAAAAGCCAGCCATCAAAATATCCGGGTCTGGGAGGGAAACTGTGTGTTGCTGTAAGCGTGTATGTATATGTGTATGAGTGTGTGCGTGTGTGTGTATGTGTCTGTGTGTGTATGCGTCCATGTGCGTATGTGTGTCCATGTGCGTATATGTGTGTGTGTGTGTGTGTGTGTGTGTGTGTGTGTGTGTGTGTGTGTGTGTGTGTGTGTGCGTGTGTGGTGTGTGTGTGTGTGTGTGTGTGTGTGTCCGTATCCGTGTGAGATTCAGTCTCTGAGTCAGTTAACAAAGACTAGTAATAGCTACCTCTAATCTCTATCCATGTCCCTGCTGCTGCAGTTGCAACAGATCATGCTAGAATTGGAAAACATCGACTGTATTCTGAAGACCGGTGTCACGCCGGATGATGTTATTTACAAGGCTACAGCGCACCAAGTCGAGGTTACGCTGCCCATCGACCCCACAACGCTGGTGGATCTACACGATCGCCTGGCCCTGGCCAAACGCATCCTACAGTACGGCGCAACCGCTTTCCCCGCCCGCTGGAAAGCCGCGGAGCTGGGTGACATAGGAACGGAATCGTTCAAGGTGCGAATCTACTACGATGAGGAGCGACATGCTAAGCTGGTAGGTGCATTGGAGAGGCTGCATTTGTGCTTGAGGCAATGTTTAATGTTCGTATTTATTTAGACGTGGCAGCCAGAACAGGCAAATGTCCTAATGACAATAGCACCACTGCATGCTCCTCAGGCGCGCTGTAGAGACACGTACAAAGTTCTGTACTAGGGCCGCCGCAGGCATGTACAAACCCGGTTGGGTGTTCATTGTGTCAGATTCTTCACCTTGGATAGAACTAATGACTAGCTAGATCTTTGTCGGAAGGACGTTTTCGTATGAAATTCCTTGAAGGCCCCGATTCACAGTGGAAACAGCAGTACACCCGGTAGGGTCCTGCACATTCAATACCCAACTGGGTATACCGGATTCTACGAGATTCTATGGGATTCTACGGGATTCTACGGATTCTACGAGATTCTACGGGATTCTACGAGATTCTAGGAAATTCTACGGGATTCTACGGGATCTTGGTGCATCTGTGCAACGTGCATAAGGTGTATTGGAGAGAGAGTGTTGTGCTGTCTGACGGGAGAGGCTGTGTGTTCATTTGCAATCAAATGTATGTGTTTATCTATGTGGTGTGGTGTGTGCTTCTCTCTTTCTCTCTCTCTTTCTCTTCCTCTCCTCTCCCTCTCTCTCTCCGTCTCTCTCTCCCTCTCTTTCTCTCTCTCTCTCTCCCTCTTTCTCTCTCTCTCTCTCTCTCTCTCTCTCTCTCTCTCTCTCTCTCTCTCTCTCTCTCTCTCTCTCTCTCTTCTCCCTCCCTCCCTTCCTCCCCCCTGCCTCCCTCCCTCCCTATCATAGAAACTAAAATTTGATCCTGCTCTAGCAGTGCAATGCGCAGCAAGCTTTTTACATCGGCAGCTAGCCGCACACATTATGCATGTCGCACATTTTGACACTGCAGTGACCTGACAACACGCATGCTCATTCTACCCAAATAGGAGACAGGGTGATGTGGCTGCTTGCTTGCTACGCTTCACACCACTATCATTCATGGCCCACAGCAAGAAGGCGGCAATGCCTGTACCTATGGTGAAGTGAACTGAGTATGACGTAACACAACCTTACCAACGATAATCTGTATTTTCTGCTGCTCCATGCTGCTCCCTGCAGGTTCTAGACTATCTGAAAGCTGTACCTAAGTTCCATGCGGAGTACTCTCCTCCCAATAACAAGCCAATCCCGAACGTCCAGCCTGGGGATAACGCCCAGGATGGAGACCCCATCAACCTCCGGCAGCCTGGGGATAACGACCAGGACGGGGACAATGACCAGAACGGGGATAATGACCAGGACGGGGATAATGACCAGGACGGGGACGATGACCAGGACGGGGACGATGACCAGGACGGGGACGATGACCAGAGGGGAGACGATGGCCAGGGGTGTGGCAAATGTCCCAGCCCCCAGAAGAAACCCCAAACCTTTCAAGAAAGGGCAGATGAAATTTCGCGCGGTAAACACGGGCTCGAATTGAGCCGTGCAAGACAGATGTTCTTTAGAAACGAGCAAAGGAAAGGAAAATCACACCTGTCATACTGGAGTGTGTTGCTGGACAATGTTCAGATTCCTGACAGCGTAACGGAACCGTTTAAGTCCAGATATAGCAGCACTTCCGAGTCTGACAAGAAGCGTCTTAAAACGGACTTGGAAAAAAGGATATGTAATCACGTGAAAAGTCAACTCCGCAGCAAGTTTCATACTCAGGTGTACCTGCTTCAGAGCCAAGCTATAGTAGAGGTGCACGTCGACGGTTCATCGCAGGACGTGGTAGTAAGCGGGTCAGTTGTGATCATTGTTCATACCAAGAGGGAAGCGACATTGGTAAGAACGACCGCAAAAGCACAATGTGTTCTATGTTTTTCCCTGCACTCAGACCTTCCTGTGGTATTTTGTTTACTTTTTCCGGACTACTTGTACTACCAGTGGCTTTTGATTGGTCCTTGCACTCAGTAGTCTTTCATACAGTTTATGCGTGTGACATTGCCGGTATGCATGGCCTTCACTTCTCGACAGTACTATACACACGTTGGTGGCCAACAAGTTGTTGGTGCGGCGATGACGTGACCAACCGGACCGGTTCCTGCGGGCACGTGATACACACTGGGGTGGAATTGCAAGACTGTCTTTTGGCAGTGCGTGGGCAAAGGGAAAGGATTTACATCAAGTGCACATGTGAACACATGCGTGCACTGAGCATTGTACTTGTTCAAGATTCGACATTGATACTCTGACTTTAACGTCATTTTGATCTGAGTGCTAAAATTGTTGGTGTGCGAGGTGAAAATCATGTTAACAAATCCTGCATGGCCGTGTGCGTGCAATGATGTGTGGGTGGGCGGGTGTGCATGTGTGTGTGTGCATGTGCATGTGTGTGTGAATGTGTGTGTATTTTGTGTGTGCATGTGTGTGCATATGTGCATGTGTGCATGTGTGCATGTGTGTGTGTGTGTGTGTGTGTGTGTGTGTGTGTGTGTGTGTGTGTGTGTGTGTGTGTGTGTGTGTGTGTGTGTGTGTGTGTGTGTGTGTGTGTGTGTGTGTGCATGTGTGTGTGCGCATCATGTGTGGGTGCGGATGTGTGCACGCATGTGTGTGTGTGTGTGTGTGTGTGTGTGTGTGTACATGTGTGTGTGTGTGTGTGTGTGTGTGTGTACATGTGTGTGTGTGTGTGTGTACATACGTGTTCACGGGTGTGTACGTTTGTACTTGCGTGTTCACCCGTGCACGCATGCCATACGCTTTATATCCCATCAGATCGAGCTGCATGCCTTGAGCAAGAAGAACTGGCCCGGCCAGACGGCGCTAGCCGCCAGCGTTACCCTGTACCCATCAGACGTAACAAACCTGCTGCCCGAAGTTCAATACCCAGAGCCGTCTCCCGCACAGCGCCAATCACCGGGCCGCAACGTGCCTTTCCCAGGGTCGTCTGCCGTACAGCAGCAGCAATCGCCAGACCAAAAGCAGTCGACGCGACTCGCCAAGAAGGACAAGGACACGGGCCCTGCGAGTTTCAGCACCTACCAGGTCGAGTTCACTGGGCTACCACGCGAGAAGCTGGGCGAGCACGGCACGCCGCTGTTTCAGAAAAGCGCACAGGAGCAGGCTACCGTCGTCCTGTTCGATCTACTCACCGCTAGGCTGGACAAGCTGCAGCGAGATCATGTCGCCGCGGTCCACAACAAGGCACTGCACGTGAGTGTGTTCAAGGCCATGCTCAAGCAGAATAAGTGCCACATCGACAGCGTCGAGCCGGTGATACAAGACAAACTTGATGGGGCCGGTGCTGCCGGTGCTGCAGCACCAGCTGACCAGGACCAGAAAGCCAAGGGCAGCAAGAATGCAAAGGGTGGAGCTCAGAAGGTGGCACAGCCTGCAGCAGCATCACCAGCAGCAGCACAAGATGCCGCCGGCAACTCCCAGGACCAGAAGAAGTCCAAGAAGCAAAAGGAGCGGGAAAGGAAAGCGGCCAGGAATGCGAGTGAGCAGAAAGCGGCGGACAAGAAGGCGGGCAAGGCAGTGGCTAAGCCAGCGGCTAAGCCAGCGGCTAAGCCAGCAGCTAAGGCAGCTGTCACACAGCCCCCACGGCCCAGCGAGTACAAGGCCGTTGGGATGATGGCGCTGACCGATGCCGCAACACACTACGGGGATGCCGATACCACATCCTTGGATCATTACTTGCACATAACCGACGGCGGGGAACCCATCACCTTTGCCTTGACGACGGCTGGCGGAAAACCTGTAACGTAAGTAGATATCCAGTGGTGCTTGATGTCATCCAGTCAGTGAGTCGCATCACTCAAGTTTGTGTCTTGCACCACTTCTCAGGACTATGCTTACAGGTCTAGGGCTGGCTGCGCAACGCCTGGTGCGCACTTGAGCGACGCCACTGGATTTCATTGAGCTGTACTGCACCCTTGTTGGTAGTGTGTGTGTGTGTGTGCTTGTGTGTGTGCTTGTGTGTGTGTGTGTGTGTGTGTGTTGTGTGTGTGTGTTGTGTGTGTGTGTGTGTGTGTGTGTGTGTGTGTGTGTGCGTGCTTGCGTGTGTGCATGCACGCGTGTGTGCATGCGCGTGTATGTGTGTCTCGTGTGTCCCGGCCGGAATGTGAGATCCTACCGCGTGAGTAAGTGGACGCATGCACTGGTGATGCGAGCAGCCCCTTGTCTGTGGGGGGCCCTGTACTGGTGATGCGAGCAGCCCCTTGTCTGTGGGGTCCTGGGTGGCCGCATGGTGCGAGCAGCCCCTTGTCTGTGTGGTCGCATGGTGGTCACCGTTGACTACTGTGCTGAACGGTTGCCAATGTGCTTAGCGGTTGGTATGGTGCTCGCCGTTGGCATGGTGCTTAGCGGTTGGCATGGTGCTTAGCAGTTGGCATGGTGCTTAGCGGTTGGCATGGTGCTCGAGGGTTGGCATGGTGCTCGCTGTTTGGCACCGTGCTCAGCAGTTGCCATGGTGCTCGGCAGGAGGCAACTCGCATATCCTTCATTTTATCGTGCTGCAGTTAAAAGTATGAAAGTTGCCAGAAACTAGAAACTAGAGAAGTGTCTGTTTTAGGTTATATTGCTCTTGCGTACAGTAGAGTTCAGTGGAGAAATTCATTCATAACGCTCACACTCCAAATCATCCATAGTTTTTTTTATTGTTGTTCAGACACTATTTTGTTAGCAGCAGTACATTAAATAATTTGTTTTCTTCATTCTTCATTTTCCTTGCCAACCCTCTCTAGATTAGCCTGGTTAGTGTGCCTACCAGGTTATTCTACATAATTGTGTGTCACAATTGAGCACTTTGCAAATTATTAAGCACTTTGACCACTCTTACTGACGTTTTGTTGTCTCTCTCTCTCTCTCTTCTGTCTGTCTGTCCGTCCGTCCGTCCGTCCGTCCGTCCGTCCGTCCGTCCGTCCGTCCGTCCGTCTATCCGTCTGCCTGTCTCTCTTTCTCTCTTTCTCTCTCTCTCTCTCTCTCTCTCTCTCTTCTGTCTGTCCGTCCGTCCACTCCTTCCGTCCCTCCCTCCCTCCCTCCCTCCCTCCCTCCCTCCCTCCCTCCCTCCCTCCTCCCTCCCTCCCTCCCTCCCTCCCTCCCTCCCTCCCTCCCTCCCTCCCTCCCTCCCTCCCTCCCTCCCTCTCCTCTCCCTCTCTCTCTCTCTCTCTCTCTCTCTCTCTCTCTCTCTCTCTCTCTCTCTCTCTCTCTCTCTCTCTCTCTCTCTCTCTCTCTCTCTCTCTCTCTCTCTCTCTCTCTCTCTCTCTCTCTCTATTCTCTCTCTATTCTCTCTCTTTTCTCTCTCTCTCTCTTCTCTATCATTTCTCGCCCTTTCTATTCTTCTCTTCTCTCCTGTCTCTTCAGATGCCGGATGATCGACACAAGGTTGCAACGCCTTCTCGAAAATACGAATTTGAAAAAGTTCAAAATTCAGGATAACCGTGAACAGCATTGAAAACCGTTTAGAAGTCTAGGCAAGCGATCCTACAGTTGCAGCAGCCATTAACATCTCTACTCCATGAGCAGTCTAAATTTTCACAAGCGTTTATTTTAGCGCCTAGTAATTATTTTAAAGTAATTTGGTTACCGCGTCAACTCTTTGAGCTACCTTTCTTGTCAGCCTGCACTCTGCACCAGCTACAGAGTAAGCCTGTACTCATATCTCATAGCTACTATAGTGTTTATACTCATCCAACCTCCGCGGATGTTTTAACTGTCTGCCTGGTGATTTTTAAGGATTTGTAGCCTCTGTAATTGTTATGCCTCTCAGCGTATGGAATTATCTCTTTCAGCATAACAATGACATCATGCCCTCAGTGTGTGACATCATTTTTCTCAGTGTATGACATCATGCCTCTCAATGTATGAGATCATGCCTCTCAGTATACTATGTCATATTGTGACAAACATGCCTCGCAGCAGCATAATAATAATAATAATGACGCCTGGTTTTCTCGTCAGAGCCGCGTGTGATGCGTGACAAATGCCCCTACAAGCCCAGTTAGTATGCTAGCCTGCTCTTGATCTTGCTACTACGTATGTGTACGTGTACATGCATCGGCGAGTAAACCAATCTCTCCAGACTATCGTGAGAATAAAGAATAATCTACATCATCACTACTGTATGAAGGAAAATGAGTGACATGATATCATAATGCATACGAGTTCAGAGCAACTGGCCACCACTAACTAGATACTCAAATTTCGGAACTTTTCGGTGCTGGTATGACGGCTGAAGGCGAGGTAAGGCTACCAGAACATTTGGGTACAGAGAAACAGTTCCCTATTGGATTATGTGTGTTAGTGTTTGTTCGGTGTATTGGAATTTTAGGTATGAAACAGACGCACCGAAAGTACCGAAAATAAAAGCACTGTAGAACGGGTAATTTTAGCGACTATTAATTTTAGCGTTTTCCCATTGTCAACCGGTTAGCGACGTTTTATTTTAGCGATTTGCAGCGATTTTACTCACGGATCACCAGTGCACTACTAATGTCTCAACGGATTGGCGACTTGAAACTTTAGCGAAAAGGAGTCGATCGATAAATTCGCTAGGGTTTTTACGTCGCTAAATTTTTTTTTTAAATGTTTATTTGAATTCGGATAGCTCAACAGTACAGAAGTACAACTACAAAGAGTACCGAATAGAAGGCCCCGAGAACGGGAAACCAAAAAAACAAAACGGGAAACCAAAAAAATTACCCGTTCTACAGTACACCGAAAAATTGTGAAATTACAGTACTAAAATTATCATGCAGTCAGCAACTACTTATGTATAAGCAGAAATATTCGTCTGGAATTTAATTTCATCTTTTTCGTCCAAGGAGCTGTGGGACTAAATTAAATGCCGGACTACCGTATTTTCCGGAGTATAGTGCGCATTTGACGTGCCATTTTAAGCCCCAAATTGCAGGTGCGCACTATGCTCCGGATATGAAATGCATGTACTTCAATGAAGATTGAAGTGCGCACCCCCAATGAAGATTGGGGGTGCGCGTTATACAAAAGGCGCGCACTATACTCCGAAAAATACGGTAATGTCGATTTGTCCAGCTTTTCAATACACTCTTATGACCCATGGACGACATTTTCAACTGGACGAACTCCCTTTCTTTGGAGTTAGATGAGATTATTGACCGACGAAATGTCACGAAATACAGACATCTACCCATATTTATTTTATCACCATTAATTAGACCATCGTAGTATAAGTCGCACCGCACCGACTTTTTTCCGGTGAACTAGTTTTTTTAACGAGACAGCTTGGAAGCTCAGGGCCCTACGCTATGCGTTTTTGCCTAACTCATCATGCATGTTATTAGAACTGATGGACATGGTTTTTTCCATTGATTGGCTACATCAAACTTTCTCTTTACACTCGAGGGTAATACGACACCGTCCACCACCTTGATGACCTAGGCAAAAAAGCATAGGGATGTTATAAATTGTTCATTTCTCCTTCTTTTTTTTTCAAGACATAACCTAGGATTAGAACCCGCACTATCGCACTCTATGCATCCCCCGATACACTTCGCATACATACTCATTCTTCCAAGTTGCTTCACGTTATGATCTTGCATTTCAGAGCCCTATTGGAATATTGTGGCCAGCTGTCTTTGATGGTACGATACGGTACGGGACAGTTATGGGATAGCGCAAGGCATGCCGATGGCACAAACAAACAAACAAACACGGAATTAAAGCTATGTGCACCCTGGCTAGCGCAAGAGGTTACTGAAGTAACGTCTTTTTCCCTCTATACATTCTCCCGATACACTTCGCATACATACTCATTCTTCCAAGTTGCTTCACGTTATGATCTTGCATTTCAGAGCCCTTTTTGAATATTGTGGCCAGCTGTCTTTGATGGTACGATACTGTACGGGACAGGTACGGAATAGCGCGCAGGCATGCCGATGGCACGAACAAACAAACACGGAATTAAAGCTGTGTGCACCCTAGCTCAAGATGTTACTGAAGTAACGTCTTTTGCCCTCTATGCATTCCCCCGATACACTTCTCATACATACTCATTCTTCCAAGTAGCTTCACGGCATGATATTGCATTCGAAAGCCCTATTTGAATAGTGTGGCCAGCTGCCTTTGATGGTACGGTACGGTATGGGACAGGTATGGGATAGCGCCAGGCATGCCGATGGCACAAAAAACAAACAAACAGGGAATTAAAGCTGCGTGGACCCTGGCTAGCGCCAGAGGTTACTGAAGTAACGTCTTTTGCATAGCTACGGGAATTAATATGCGGCTTTTACTCCGGCAAATACGGTGTGGCTCGAAACACATCAAAACAACAAAAAGTACGAGATCATGTCAACACGCTTACATGGCACACAGTAGACAAACCGGTCAAACTTTCTACCGTCGGAAATTGAGACAAACCCGCATCTTTGCCCTTCACAGACGTTAATGTTTATTCACAATGCATCACTCCCAAGAGCGTGCAAATTTGCATCAATGCAGAAATTGTACAGTTGATTGCATCATAATTTGGGATGCTTTAGTCGGAGATTATACCATTGCGTCATCATTTGATAGGTCTTGCACGGGGTGTTTTGCCACCCATACAAAAATGTTACCACTAGCTAGTTAGCATATACACATGTACACACACTGTGTGATTCAGGGAGAAAACTAAGACCATAGAATCAGTCCAGCTGCTAAGCCAAGATAGAAGCAATGTCAAATAGATCTCACATGTGTGCAATCTTTCTCTATGTGTGGGCAATGATGATATAGACAGAATAGTGTTGGTCGGTTCGCTACTCAATAAACAGTGCACCATTGTGGAACAGAATTATACGCGCGCGCGTACACACACACACACACACACACACGAACACACACACATAAACACACACACACACATGTGCACGCACACACACACACACACACACACACACACACACACACACACAAACCCACACACACGCAAACACACCCACGCAAACACACACACGTGCGTGCATGCACATGGACAGACGGACACACACACACCAGTACACACGGGACAAGATCAGCACACTCAAACAGCAGCATTACGTAAGTATAACGCCGCACAGCACGGACTCACCACACAAAAACAGCGAGACATTCCATTGGCAGCGAAACCTTACCATCACCTGGAGGTGAACGCGGCCATGGCGGGGCAAGGTTCTCTCAACCACTGCTCCACCTCAGACCAGTCACGTCATACGTAGGAGTTCGGGTGTCCGGCTACTGTCCTGGGGGCGGGTGTCGTCAGTCTCAGCCCTCCCGTACCGGTGTTCTCCTGATAGAAGTTAATGAGTTCGGGCAGCGTGTCGAAGTAGGCCTGCTGGGACAGGAAGTACTTGTAGGGCGGCACCGCGTGCTGCTGGATGCGATAGTGCTTCACCATCTCGTCGTTGCGCACCGATATGGAGAACTCACCGGCGATGGTCTGGCTGCGTCGCACCAGGAACGTGCCGCGACCCTCGCACTGGCCGAGGTGTTCCTCCGCCTGCACCTTGCTCATGTCCGGAAAGAAGTACCTGCAGAAATGGGAACAGCGTAAAAGGGCAGAAGTCGGACAATGTATGTATGTACAGTCAACTTCGCTAATAACGACTGCGGATATAACGACAGTTCGCGAATAACGACAGAATTTCCATGCCCAGAGCAAAGTCTCATCTAACTGTAATACATATAATGAGACTTCGGGTATAACGACACTTCGCGAATAAGGACACTTTTCTGATGCCCCGCCGAGTGTCGTTATAAGCGAAGTTGACTGTACTTCCTCCGTATACAAAAACTTCGTGACTTTTTTTATGGCTGCGCACAGCTCCGGAATTGTTCCGTTTGACTTGAAATAACACTCGTGGCATTATCGAACCTGCTTACAAGCTATGATCAAAGAAAAAGCAAGTCAGGCGAATGAGATTGAGTTTATTCAGAGTCTTCGTCGCTCGTGTCATTGTCACCTGACGACGCTGCCTCCGCATGGCCAACAGTCGCTGCTTCCGCTCGCATTTCGTTCAGATTCTTTCCAGCTGCAGTGATGATACGACGCGGCACTTGGGCTATGTCCTCTTCATTTCCAGAGCTGTGTACGAATCGGTGTCAACTATATTCATTCGATCCAACCCGCGACCTCCATTGTGCCGTGAAACGAGTCGCTCAAGCACATCCACTAGCTTCGCATTTTCTCGGCAGGATAATCCTCCCAGCATTCTACAACGGTTTCGAGGAGGTCTCTGCGATTCCCCTTGGCGACTAAGGAGACATCTGACTGGAGAGAGAGAGAGAGAGAGAGAGAGAGAGAGAGAGAGAGAGAGAGAGAGAGAGAGAGAGAAAGAGAGGGAGAGAGAGAGAGAGAGAGAGAGAGAGAGAGAGAGAGAGAGAAAGAGAGAGAGAGACAGAGAGAAAAGAGAGAAAAGAGAAAGAAAGAGAGAGAGACAGAGAGAAAGAGAGAGAGAGAGAGAGAGAGAGAGAGAGACACCCCTCGTATAACGAGGGTCAGACTCATATGGTTCAAATGCTTGTCATGACTTTGCCAACCCATGATGGTGGTAGTCAGGACCACTGGGTTTTTTTCCAGCACTGTGCGTCCTCTGCTTTGTAATATTCTGTCAAACTAAGTGTCCATATGACAGAGGAAAGCCCATGCAGAGTAGTCTCACTCGTCCAGCACTCCCATGGCAGAGTAGTCTCACTCCTCCAGCACTCCCATGGCAGAGTAGTCTCACTCCTCCAGCACTCCCATGGCAGCAGTGTCTTCACTGCCAATATATTAAATAAGAGATCGTGATTGCAGTGTTGGAGTGAAGTTACATACATAATTATACACCATGTTGTCCGGGATATATGCCACACTAGAGTACCGCTACATGTATATGGCCCACCCAGATTTTTTTGTCACGAAATACTGACACCTACCCCGTTTAAACACTGGAGCTTCAGGATATACTGTAAAAGCAGAAATTTTCGGTGCTGTAATATTATCGGTATTCTCCAAAATCGGCGGTTCGGTGGAGGGAAATTTTCGGTAAACCCGTTTTCCAGGTAAGTGTACTAGTACTATACCGACATTTTCGGTGTGTTTTATTTTCGGTAAAAATTTCGGAAACTTTAAATTTCTGCTTTTACAGTAATACTGTCAACCGCGTAAACAATGACATCGGGTATACTAATAACCGAGTCACCATCTGACTGCACATCTTCTGCCTCAGGAACAACAACACAGGCTAGAACTCCATCAAGTACAGAATAGCAATGTATACACGGAGACTCAACTGTGCATAGACTAATACATGAAGACGATAATGGTGTAAGCTAGGAGGCTGACCCTCAGTTCTTCTGCACCCAGCAGTACTGTATGCCAAAAGCATGCGACAACGCACCCGTACCCTAACCAGGCCCCTCTATCCTGTATGTGGGCATGTGTGTGCGTGCGCACGTGTGTGTGTGGGTGTGTTTGTGTATGCGCGCACGTGTGTGTGTACGCATGTGTGTGTGTGTGTGTGTGTGTATGTGTGTGTGTGTGGGGGGGGGGGGGGGGTGTGTGGTTGCGCGTGTGTGAAGGGCCGACAATCTTCACAAATACCACGAGATCAAGGGATTGCGTGAGAGCGGCCAATAGATGTACTCAAGTACATCAAAGCCAGCATAGAAGACCCTCGGCGCGACCTCTCTCGTTAATGATGTCATAACACGGGCAAAACTACTTGCCATGACGTCATAAAATTGTGCTGAACATGCCGATGTACAAAGTAAAACAACGGTATGGGAAACAGACGCGAAACTGGAACCAGGCGTCCTGTCACAGCAATGTACACTTGAATGCAGTCATACAGGTCTGCTCTCCACAGAACTCTCACTTGTACATAAACCTCGCTAGTAGATTTATGTTATTATATGGTGCATCTCAAGTTGATCGATCGATCCGAGAACAGGCCACCTCAGTGCCCATCCTAGGATGGGCATTAGCTACTTTGCCCATCTTAGGATGGGCAAAATCCTTGGACGGAATGGAACACACTATATTAGAGAGGTTCTGCAAAACGAAAGTGTGTACGAACTTTCGCTCTACGTCACGAAGTGAGAAACTTCGCACGAACTTTCGCAACTTTGGACGTGAAACTTGCAGGGAACGCGAAATGAACTTTCGTAGGGTCATGGTGTACGTGCACTTGGCGCGTGCAAATTACGAAAATGTGCAGATCACAAAGTTCGTGCGAAAGTTTGTACACATTTTCGCAAGGCCAGTCGCGAAACTTCGTTCGAATTTTCGGTGTGCAGAAGCTCTCTATTCTGCGGCATTGATGGTATCTGATGTTGATGATGGTACAGTGTGTATTTGTTTGCACGGTTGAACCCGCCTTGTAATACCCTTCATTTTGAGGTACACCTCGTACTTTACATACAGTTTTCTACATAATATAACAATCATAATTTTTGCGTGGTCGCATGGATTACGTTATGTGGAGAGTAGACCTGTACATACTCTCGGTGCTGCTCATGTTTAGCCCCATCCCCATTTTTTCCTGACCGAAATGTAAAACATATTTTGAAGAAAATTATGTAACTCAGATACAGTGCTGAGCCTTCCTAAGGGTTGGTTCACATACGCAAAATCGGCGCCGCAAGACATCGGCGGTGAGCCAGCTCCCGATCCGTTGCGCATACGGTTCGAGTACCAAATCTACTACAAAGTAGTACAGAATGTGCGCAAATGCTACGACAGGTTTGCCAATTGAAGCTTGAATTCTTGGTTTCTTCAGCAGTTCAAGGTCTTTCGGTGATGGCCACTCGGTGCTACCTTTTACTGGAGATCATGAAACTAATTTTATACCTTTTATTGCAGTCTAGTAAGCGGTGGTGTCGAAAGTATGCGTGCAGACGTCGATGAAGTCACACGAACTTGTCTATGTATCCTTCGTATTTCTTATTTATTTCAATTATATTTGTCTCATAAGTTGCACAACAGTCAAGCAAATCATGCGAGAAGGACGGGTTGGTATGCTGACTTAATTTGCCACCTTGAACCGACTACAAGACTGGCGAACGGACCTCATCTTTAGCTTCAAGTTCGGAAAATTTAGGAGGAGTCTTGGTTAGAAATTTTGACAAAGTCTGGCTCCCGGCACCGGCGATCACCGGCGCGAACGGTTCACAAACCACTTTAGGTCAATATTCTACGGGATCGGCGCTGGGGCAGATCGCAAGAGTTGGGCACAGTCCAACTTTGCCGGCGGTCCCTTGCGATATTTTACGGTATGATTTTGTTACGACTGCACTGGTTTACATAATCGCAATGCGCCGGAAGAGGTTGCAAGAGGCCCACTTCCGGTGACTCTCGGCGATATGTGAACCAACCCTAAGGGGATACTGAGCCAATGAATATAATTAAAATAGATCAGGTCGTTGAATGTTTTAGTAACATGTCAGTTTTGTACCCAATTATCACACATTCTGACTGCTTTTTATCTTGTCACAGTCGTGGATACTAGTAGTTCCTTCATAACTCGTTTCCACGTGATTTCTTCTATTTTAATAAGGAAATTATTCATTGGTTCGAGGGAAAGATGCAAACGGGAAAAGTCTGAAGAAAAAATTGACGGTCACCACCACGACTTGAACCATGGGCTTTTGCTTGAGGCCAGCGGTGCTCAAACCACTGAGTAGATGTCATTCCAGCAGAGACCGTTCAACATGTTCTCCAGATCTCGATTTTTGTCCTCAAATGAATTTGTGAACTGGTGTGTTTGACTGTGGGAGCCAGTGTTGCTCACAAGATGTTCCTGTGAAAATAAGCTTTGATAAAATGGGGATGAATCGCAAGCACTTGAGTTTTTGGGTGGAGATGGGAATGCAGCATTGCATGTATTAATGCACTGCTCTTGGACAAACAACGGAAGTGATACAGTGGTGATGGTTTGGGCCTCTTGGCAGGCTGCATGCCACACTGCACAGTTCAACATTGCATGTTGGAATGCATTGCTCTTGGACACAGCACAAGTGATACAGTAATGATGGTTTTGATTTCTTGGGTTGACTGTATCCCACACTGACACAGCACAACATCCCTGCTTTAGGCTGAACCACACACACATGTCACCACACACACATGTGCGCGTGCACACACACATACACACATGCACACACACACACATACACACACACAACACATACACACACACCCACACATGCACGCACACCCACACACTGCGCACAATCCCTGTTTAATGCAGCAGCAGCAACAGGGATTGTCACCACACACAGTCATGGTATACACATTTTACAAGACATCCGGCAATGACATCCGGCAATGACATCAGGCATGGACACTGATCCACAGCACACAATTTAGCCAGGCTACGTAAACCCAACAAATTTTTCTCTGACATGATGATCTCGCACACAGGTGCAACAGCATCTGCCAGCCTGGTACAATCAGGCATGGTGATGGCCTGGGACGTAATCATGGTTACTGCCTAAACTAGTTTCGTTTCTCACCATAATTGTACGTCCCAGCCCGTGGTAACGCGGATGTAGGAACTGATTGCTTCACTTACACACAGGTGCAGCAACACAAGTACAATGTACTACTACTGTTAGTATACAAAATCTCGGCACTTCACGATTTTTGACATTTCGGCGGCGATTTATTTTCGGCGTGGGGTAGAGGGCATGGTATAGTGCGACAGCTGCTGTGAAAAATTTCATCGGCGTTTTGGGTCGGTGCCGAATATAGCCGAAATTAAATAGCTGCCGAAAATTTGTATATTTACAGTAGTTGGCAAGCAATCAAGAAGGAAGCAATGCCTGTACCTACGGTGAAGTGAAAACTAACTAAACATGCTACTGTCACATACACTTTTCTAGTTGTCCGCAAACTCCAAGGCACCCACTCACACATAAGGTCGTATCTTCTCGTTAAACCTATGAATTGCAGGCAATAAGTAGTTGAATTTGCGACTCGCTATAATAACATGTCCTAGAGTACAGTAAGAACGTGTCAAGGCAACCACCTGTCTCAGAAGACCACTGAAATGAGCACCAAGAGATGCTATTTCCAGTCAAACGACCCTGGATAAGAAGACCACCCGGTAACAGAGATCACGTTTTGAAGGTCCCTTGAGCGGTATTAGAATTAGACCGGTTTCACTATAATTATAGCAAACCCATATTACCATCGCAGAGGACCTTCCAACAGCTGTCAAATCCAATCACCATGCTATTACCAAGAGTACATACCCCCTCCCCCCCCCCCCCCTCCCCCCAAGAGTGTGCAACTCCCACATACCCTGCTGTCCCGACAGAATTTCAAGTTGATGTTATTATTTATGGTGCAATGCTCCTTGCATCAGTGATTTACAACAAAGCATCACACGTTTTTCTTTGCCATAATTTGTACAGGATCAGATGAGCTTTGGTCCACCACACGTTCTGGATTCGTCTGATAATCCGTGTACAGTGCTCAATGCTGCGTAAACATGACGTCAAATTGCCACGCAAAGTGGTCATTGGCTACCCCAGCCATGTATTGCTTGGAATAAAATAAATAAATAAATATAAATTCTGTCCAAACAGCACCCATAGTCGAATTGCGCTCTATTGGGCGTGATATACTCTTGCTATCAGAGAGAAGCACTACTTGAAAGGTGGGCCTGACCAAACCATGAACCAGACCACAAGACAATCACAAAACGAATCATCGACTTGAACTAGTTTTCCCTTGTGAGTTGTCACCCAGCAGTATGGTGACATATTATTGCATTGACATGCAGTGCCCTTATCTTGAAGCCACGTGTCAACAGCTGCCACACACCCACCATGGACCGCCAGCACCTACAAAACGTCGCAGGGTAGCTCCAGGAGTACGACGGATTGAGAAAACATAGACACCTACGCTGACAGAACACGAACCTGGCAGCATATTGTCAGAAGCACAGCCGCACAGTTAGCCCCTGGTGTGGGCCAACGCGAAGCTAGTAGTGCTTCATTCAAACATAGAGAGACAGAGAGAGAGAATGTGTGTGCACCGAACAAACTTTACTTCGCGATGTTTTATTTTTGCATATCGCTGTGGAGCGTCACGATCGTGAAGTGCTGCACGCACACGAAAATAATACTAGTAGTAGTAACGCGCGCGTGCGTGTGTGTGCGTGCGCTCATACCGTACATACGTGGAGTGCACAGTAGCGCCAGTGGGGGGGGGGACATACACAGGAGCACCCACGCTTGCAGCAACACTGGAGTGAGCGAAGCAACAATCAGTAGTATTGTACTGCAACACCGGAACACCAGATTCACACCAACCCAGCAAAGGTGTTTTCAAACAAAATACATGACTGCGCTACAAAATACCGGCAGTGAGGGAGCCAGAAACTCACATTTGATTTTCCAGAGACGGTCCGTCATTCTGTCCGTTCACCGGCTTTTTCTTCGCCGAGCCAGAACATTTGTTTCCCATCGCCTGCGCCCGCACGAGTCAACAGCAAACATCCACAGCGTGACGGGACAGAGGACACCCGGTACCCGGTCGCTGGCGCTCAGGCCACGACACGTCGTCTCGCCCCGCAGAGAAAACGTGTTGCCAGTAGTACTACTGTTGCTAGTTGAGATAGAGAATCAGCTCTGCCCTGGCCAGGCCTGCTGAATCACTGGCTCTCCGGAGATTCTTACAGGACAGTAGATACGGAGAGCGAGCGAGTACGGAGCACGGTACGGAGCCTTTGCCTTTGCTGGTCAAGGCTTCCGTTACGCGCGTTGGCTTGCGTCAGGTGGCACGGACAGACAGAAGCGTTCTTTCGGCGGCACTTCCGCCCGAATCTAGTGCTTGTATCTCCAACACAAAACCCGTTTATGCTAGCCAGATGGTGAGCGTCGCACTACACGGACAAATCTAGCATTCTATATCTAGGGCAGCGACTGCACTGAGTCTGAGTGAGTAGCCTAGACAGAGATCAAGGCGAGATCAAAGACTACGGACAGTACAGGTAGACGTCTACCCAATCATGTAGATACACAGGTAAAACTAGTAAAACTACAGGTACTGCTAGAGCATGCGATGGCTGCGGAAGCAGTCACTGTCTCTTCTGCCGCGCAGGTTGTGATTCTCCGATGCAACAACAGCTACGACTCCGAGTGCATAAACCAAACTACACAGTTAGTCACAAAATATTAGTGAGTTCTAGTACTAGTACGTAAGTCTACTTGTCTTTACAAAATCTACATGACTGTCATCATGGTCATCATGGTCATTGTACAGTCTCATCATCACGGCCTAGGCCGGCTATGTATCGTATGGCAGTACTAAGTATGTGCTACTGCTAGGGTCTAGCAAGTACTCGTAGTCAATGGTAGTGCCCTGAAACTTAGTGAAAGTGAAAAGGCCTGATGTCAGTGCGACTCGCCGTGCGCCGTGTAGATCATGTACTTGCGCTGACTGCGCCGCCGCGGCGTGCATTCCGCAATCCGCCGGTTGCACTTGCACAGAGTTGGTCGACATCTTTACTTTTATTAATTAATTTTATAATAATTAAAATTTTGTCTTTGTGCGTGCGCGTCTTTGACTTTGGAGACTTTTGTCCTTTTACTAGTTTGGAGTCAGGGAGTCGTGTACAGACAGTACCGGGTTTATTTTAGGGTTTATTCCCGTAGCTATGCAAAAGACGTTACTTCAGGGTTGGTTCACATATCGCCGGTACGCGCCGGGAGTCAACGGGAGTGGGCCTCTTGCAACCTCTCCCGGCGCATTACGATTATGTGAACCAGTGCAGTCGTAACAAAATCATACGGTAAAATATCGCAAGGGACCGCCGGCAAAGTAAGTTGGACAGTGCCCAACTCTTGCGATCTGCCCCGGCGCCGATCCCGTACAATTTTGACCAAAAGTGGTTTGTGAACCGTTCGCGCCGGTGATCGCCGGCTGCCGGGAGCCAGACTTTGTCAAAATATCAAACCAATACGTGTCCTAAATTTTCCTAAATTGAAGCTAGAGAGGAGGTCCGTTCGCCATTCTTGTAGTCGCTTCAAAGTGGCAAATAAGTCAGCATACCAGCCCGTCCTTCTCGGATGATCTGCTTGATTATTGTGCAACTTATGAGACAAATACAATTGAAACAAATAAAAAATATGATGGATACATAGGCAAGTTCTTGTGACTTCACCAACGTTTGCAAGCATAATTTCGACACAATCGCTTACTAGACTGCAATAAAGTGTGTAGAAGTATTTTCATGATCTCCAGTAAAAGGTAGCACCGAGTGGCCATCACCGAAAGACCTTGAACTACTGAAGAAACAAAGAATTCAAGCTTCAATTGGCAAACCTGTCGTAGCATTTGGCACATTCTGTACTACTTTACAGTAGATTTGGTACTCGAACCGTATGCGCAACGGATCGGGAGCTGGCTCACCGCCGATGTCTTGCGGCGCCGATTTTGCTTATGTGAACCAACCCTACAAAGTAACGTCTGGCGCTAGCCAGGGTCCACACAGCTTTAATTCCGTGTTTGTTTGTGCCATCGGCATGCCTGGCGCTATCCCGTACCTATCCCATACCGTACCATCAAAGACATCAGTACGGTGTTGTACGGTATAAGGATGTCGTATAGCAGGTCGTACAACAGTATGATGAAATTGTGGGAAAACCCAACCATCGCTTGGGAACGATGAACATTACAACAGTCTTATTATAGTGAGTAAGAGTCAGGCCAAGTTTCTGAAGATCAGTAGCAGTGCTATCCCGAGCATTGTGTTGGCATTACGAAAGCATAGACAGGATGCGCGAGACCCAGGCAAGTTGCTGAAGATCAGTAGTCATTGCTGATAACGTGCAGAAAAACTAAATCCGCACCCTCTTTTGCCGTCGGACAGGATGCGTAATAGCAAGAGTACATAACCCCCCAGAGTGTGCAACGCCTGATCCAGCTCTCCATAGGGTCTTGGTTAGGCTTTTCCACATTACATATTCGAAAAAATAATGGAAAGGTGTGGATGCAAAATTCGATTTTTTGGGGGAATGATGTTTTTCTCGAAAAATGGTTAGATTTGAAAAAAAACTAAAAATATTCAAAAAATCACCCAATGTGCGAAAATTATTCACCCGTTGCCATGACAACAAGATGGCTGCCAAATGCAATCGAAGCAGGGAGTCATAAAATACCGGTATTTTACGACTCCTGATTCGAAGCATGTACAGACTCAGTACATAACCATGTAACAGTGTTGGCATCAGGCCTCAGGCTCAGGGCTAGGGTCCAGTACTAGCAGTAGGGAACATGACACAGTACAGTACCCGTGCATGCATGCACATCATCATGCTGTGGCATACATGTATTTCAAGACTGACAAGAGTCTTGTTACGTCAGGTGCTGGGTTAGATCTACACAAAAAGGGAAGTCTTGCCGCTGCCAGCACAAGAAAATGCCTCTATGTACATGTATGTATGGTCGCGTAGTTTAGCTTACACTTGTAAAACTTGTTGTTTTTGAAGAAAATCCGCAAAAATCACGCCAAATGTGTTGTTTTTGAAGAAAATCTGGCAAAATAACGCAAAACTTGTTGTTTTTGAAGAAAATCTGGCAAAAATCATGAAAGATGCATTTTTATACCCGGGATTCATTTTTACCCCCAAGATGCAAAAATTATGCAAAACATAATGTGGAAAAGCCTAGTCTTGGTCGAGCGGAATCGGATCTTCTGATGTCATGCGTACACTCCACACCAGCGTAAGGCCGGTCTCGAGGCGGCTCATCTCAATTCTAAAATCCACCGGGAATCCACAGGAAAACTACACAGACTACCCTGTTATTATTCATTGCAAAAGAACACCGAAAGGCCAGACCGCATGGTGAAGACAAATGTCTAGACTACTGAAGGATTCTCTGAATCCTTGTGCCATTAACAAGAGGCAGGATGAGCGCGTTACGGGTTGAGTTTGTCGAAAACCAATTGTACTTCATCATGTGTGAAGGGGTTTTATGAAGAAATATTTTATGAACCAGTGTACAGAGATGGTGCTTATGACGAACGGAGAGAGGAGAAGTGTGTGCAAGTCGATAAAGGGCATCCGAAGGAAAACATCGATCCTTGTTGTAAAGAATTTTAAGTGTAAATCTATGGTGGACTTCTAATTGGTTCAGAGTTGTGTCAGAAAGGCCACACCAAGCGGTATCGCAATAGTCGAATATAGGGAGAATATAGCACTGATAAAATAATAGTTTACGCTGGATGGGCAAATGAGTGCAATGTGGTTGTAGTACCCCTTATGCTGAACTGGTTCGCTTGCATACACAGTTGACATGTGCAGCCCAAGAGAGTTTGCAGTCAAACATCACACCTAGATGTTTGTGCTGAGTAACAACACGGATAGGCATAGTCGAGTCAGGGAAGTATAATGGTTGATCAGGAGGGGATGAAGAAATATACATGGCTTCTGTCTTGTCTATATTGGGCTGGAGTTTCCACGTTTGCATCCACATGACAGTGCTGTTGATGCGATGCTGCATGGTAAAGAGTAATTGTGCAGGGGAGGAATCAGAACAGATAAGGCCAGTGTCATCCGCATACAAACTAACATCGGGGACAACTGAAGGTAGGTCATTAACGTAAAGCAAGAATAACAAAGGACCCAGAATGGAACCTTGGGGCACTCCAGACGTTACAGGGAGGGGATCAGACAAGAAATAGGACAAGCGAACAGCCTGAGAACGAGCAGACAGATACGAGGATATCCAACGCAAGGCAGCATCCTCCACCCGGAAGGTGACCTCCAACTTGGCAAGTAAGCCACGATGCCAAACGGTGTCGAATGCCTTAGCCAAGTCGAAAAACACCATTCCCACGTGCTCCCCACAGTTCCTCTTTGTCGCTATGTCTTGGACAAGTCGAGTCACCTGGTATTGAGTTGAGTCACCACGGCAGAATCCCGACTGAGCTGGTGAGAGAGCCGGAGCGATGTGCAGGTAGAGGGAATCGAATACAATACGCTCACAAAGTTTGGAAACTGTGCGCAGCAGAGAGATGGGGCGGTAGTTTGCCGGGCAAGCACGGGAGCCTTTATTCTTGTAAAGCGGTGTCACGATGGCGGATTTCCAATCCTGTGGGAATGTACCAGTTCGAAATGACATATTTAAAAAAAATAATGGCGAGAGGATAGGCTATTGATGGTGCAAGAGACTGCAGCACTTCATTCGGGATCCCATCTGAGCCGGGAGACTTTCCACATTTCAGGCGCTTCAGATATTTCCGAACTTGAAACGTAGTGACATGTCACGGCTGTTAGCTGCACTTGGATCGCGGCAACTTAGTTTTCTGCACGTGAACCCTGAAAAATCAATGCATGCTCATGCATGTTCATGCATAACCAGTCAGCTGGCCTGCTCGCCCACGCATTTGACAGGTAACAATTCCATCAAATTTGAGATATCGCTTCGTTCTAAGTCTCAAAACAGTTCTAAAGTCACCAAACCACGCTGGTAATCGATGGCTATTCAATGTTAACATCTTCAGGAAGACTTCAGCCGTTTCCCGAGAGTTTGGGCATCGTTGCCGTTATTTTTCACGGTGTTCTTCTTCGTCCTGTCTGGAGCTGCAATTGCATCCTGGAATTATTTGAAAGGTATTTCGTGCGGGCTGTGGGGGGTTCCAACAGGCATAAACTGACATCGCTATAGGATAACTGGTAACTTTCACCCTTCAAGGAGGTAGAGCAATGAGAATTTTTTTGTGGCGGTCGTCCAATTTTTGTGGCGGTCATGGCTGTATTTGTGCACTTCCAAGGCTTTCATTCTGCCTGATACTACTTCGGACTGTATGGGAATCGTTGTTTAGGCACATGTAGCTGTCTTATTTGGTAGATCTGCTGTTTTCAATCACTTGGGACACTTTGTCTAGCCTATTTGTCTTTCGTTCGTGCCATCTATCAGTTTTGTGGGGTGCCTTGACCTGTATTTGTGAAGTTCTCGAGTAAAGACCCTAATTCTTGACTGGAGTCACGTCTTGAATTGAATTTGCTTGGTGAGCCCTCGTTCACGCAGTTGTACTTATCGTAATAGTCAATATCTGCTTGCTGGACGGACTAGCGGCTAGAATAGGGATACCCCCGTTCTTCCATTTTCTTCCATTTTCTTCTACACAGTTTGAGCACGGTCTTCTATTTTTTTCCCACAGTTTGAGCACGGTCTTCTATTTTTAACAC